TTGGGTAAGCCTACAGGGTGTGGATCACTCTGAGGTCGTATGAGTGAGATCCTAGCTCTGCCATACATTATATTTATTCCTTCATTCTCTACTAAATATATATCTCGTATATAATATATTAGTTCTGCTCTTGTTTTGTTTTTCTTCTCATCCTTTGTTGTTTTTTGTTGTGGCTATCTCTGTATCTTTACACACCATTTAATGCGGAGGCAGCCGAGAATCGCTTGAACCTGGTGCGGGCATAAGACGGAGTCTGTCAGTTGAGCGCAATATGAATGGCGCCACCTAGTACTCCAGCTAGTTCTTACACAACATGCATGTAGACTACCATACTCAAAAAAAAAAAAGTAAATATAAGTAAATTTAATAAAGACAAAATTTGAAAAATTAGCCTGGGTGTGGTGTGTGCATGCGCTGTAGTCCCAGCTACTGCTCGTGAGACGCTGGTAGAGGCATTAAAGATGAGGTAATGTGAGGACTCTCCTTAAGCTCGGAAGGGATTGGCTCATTGAGCCGTGGTTGTTGCCACTGCCACTCCCCTAGTACTGGGGAATACGCAAGAGCAAAGACACATTCTCCAAGTAACATCAAACAATTAAAAACACTGGCATATGGTCGTGGTCACATCTGGGCGTGTTCTCACACCTGTAATCCATAGCTCTTTGGTGGGTAGCGAGAAGGCAAGCTTTGAAGTAAGGATAATAACGCTGCGAAGGCAAGAGTTGCAAGAGCACTGGGCCGTATCGGCACACAACTGAGTGCGACACGCGCTTTGTCCCACATTCTCAGTTGTCGACTATACTAGAAAATGTCAACATAAAGTGAGCTGCTTAGACACAGCGGCACTGCTATATAATCCCAGCTTAGTTGAGGAGCTGAGCACGAGAATGCACTGTATGAACCCAGGAGACAGAGGCTGCAAGTGAGCCGAGGATTGCACACTGCACTCCATAACGCTCTTCGAGGCAACAGAGTATGCTTCTTCCTCTCTACTCAAAATTCACATACTGAGGAAACAACAAAAGCTGCTATGTGTTGTTTGCGCCCCTCATATTATGGCCTGTATAGATTTTACAGCATTCATCATTGCTCAATCCTCAAAGTCCGTTCAAGGACTTTCCTTTTATTCTGCTATGCATTGGTTTTTTTCTTTTTTTTTTTTGAGATAGTGCTGAGATTACAGGCGTGAGCCACTGCACCTGGCCAAATTGTAAAATTGTTTGTAGAGATGGGGGTCTCACTATGTTGCCCAGGCTGGTCTGGAACTCCTGGGCTCAAGCCATCCTCCCACCTTGGCCTCCGAAAGTGCTAGGATTACCCATGTGAGCCATCACACCTGGCCACAAGCCAGTTTTAAATCCATTGCTCTGTCCACCCTGCAGAACTTCTCAAAGGAGGAGGTACCATAAGCTTCAAGAACAGAGCAAAGATAAGAGGTGCATCAGCTTGATTCTTGTCTTCCCTCCCTTCTCTACCCAGGTGACTTTCCCCCAACCCCAGGAAGCTATGACAGAGGCCAGGAAGCCGCCCCCACTGCTACCCCCACGGCTGGACTGGTTCGTGCACACCCAGGTGGGCCAGCTGGCCCAAGACGGGGTCCCCGAGTGGTTCCATGGTGCAATCTCAAGAGAGTGAGGACACACCCACACCCCCCACCCTGCCCTCCCCACTCTTTCCTTGTCTGTCCCTACCCCGGGCAGCTTTTAACTGCAGAATTCTGGACTTGGCTCAGCTCAGTGTGGCAAGAGTGTAAAATGAGCTGCAGGCTCCCAGGCTTGAATCCTGCCACCTGTGTGGGCTCACTGTGTGACCTGGGGCAAGTTACTTGCTCTCTCTCTCAGCTTTCTCTATACAAGTGGCCAACAGGCCAGCACTGCCAGGGACCTGGTGGCACCCCACACCTCGCCCAGGCCAGGCAGGATACAGCCTCAGAATCTTTCTTTCTTTCTTTCTTTCTTTTTGAGACACAGTCTCAGTCCGTCACCTAGGCTGGAGTGCAGAGGTGCAATCTTGGCTCACTGCAACCTCTGCCTCCCAGGTTCAAGCGATTCTTCCACCTCAACCTCCCGAGTAGCTGGGATTACAGGCACGTGCCACCAAGCCTGGCTAATTTTTTGTATTTTTTTTAGTAGAGATGGGGGTTTCACCATGTTGGCCAGGCTGGTCTCAAACTCCTGGCCTCAAGTGATCCACCCGCCTTGGCCTCCCAAAATGCTGGGGTTACAGGCGTGAGCCACTGCGCCCAGCTAGAATCTTTCTGAACACAATACCCCAAGCAGCTGCTCTCAACCCATGAGGGTACAACCAATGTGCCCTTTCTTTTTTTTTCTTTTTCTTTCTTTCTTTTTTTTTTGATAGAGTTCTGCTCCTGTTGCCCAGGCTGGAGCGCAGTGGCACGATCTCAGCTCACTGCAGCCTCCACCTCCTGGGTTCAAGCAATCCTCCTGCCTCATGAGTAGCTGGGACTACAGGCATGCACCACCACGCCCGGCTAATATTTGTAGTTTTAGTAGAGACGGGGTTTCACCATGGTGGCCAGGCTAGTCTCGAACTCCTGACCTCAAGTGATCCGCCTGCCTCGGCCTCCCAAAGTGCCGGGATTACAGGCGTGAGCCACTGTGTCTGGCCCTAATGTGCCCTTTCTACCTCAGAATGTGAGCTCTGAGGATGTGTGCCCGGCTCTAACTAAATGGAGGAACAAATATTTATTGCCACCCTCTGCATGCAGGAACTTGAGAAAATTCTGTGAAGGCCACAGAGAGGAAGTAGTGTCGGTCATGGTTTCTGAGCTCTGGGGCCTTGCTGTCTAACAAAAATATAACATGGGTTGCACACTGCAATTTAAAAAAAAAATTTAGTAGCTATATTAAAAGAAGCAGCTGGGTGCAGTGGCACTTACCTTTAATCCCAGCTACTCGGAATGCTGAGGCAGAAGGATCGCTTGAGCCCAGGAGTTCAAGGCTGGTCTGGACAACATAGTGAGACTCCATCTCTAAAAGGAATTTTAGGCCGGGCGCGGTGGCTCATACTTGTAATTCCAGCACTTTGGGAGGCTGAGGCAGGCAGACCACCTGAGGTCAGGAGTTCAAGACCAGCCTGGACAACATGGTGAAAGTTTGTGTCTACTAAAAATACAAAATTAGCCAAGCATGGTGGTGCATGTCTGTAATCCCAGCTACTCAGGAGGCTGAGGCAGGAGAATTACTTGAACCCGGGAGGCGGAGGTTGCAGTGAGCTGAGATCGCGCCATTGCACTGCAGCCTAAGCAACAAGAGCGAAACTACGTCTCAAAAAATAAAAAAAAAAAAATTAACTGTGCATGGTGACGCGTTCCTGTAATCCCAGCTTCCCAGCTATTCAGGTGGCTGAGGCAGGAGACTTGCTGGGACCCTGGAGGCAGAGGCTGCAGTAAGCCGGGATCGCGCCACTGCACTCCAGCCTGGGTGACAGAGCAACTCCAACTCAAAGAAAAAAAGAAATTAAAAAAATTAGCCAGGCGTGTGGCACATGCCTGTGGTTCTGTGTACTGAGGAGGCTGAGGTGAGAGGATCTCTTGAGCCCAGGAAATCAAGGTTTCAGTGAGCTATGATTGCACCTCTGCATTCCAGCCTGAGTGATAGAGCAAGACCCTGTCTCAAAAACAAAAAACGATTCATCAAACAGCATATATTCCTTTTTTGTGCTGTTTTGGAAATCAGTACAAAAGGCCAGTGACCTCTGTATTGAATAGTGCAGGACCAGCTTGTCCCACGGAAGGCCGCCTTCCTCTCTGTGAACTCCAGATAATAATGGTAATAATCTAGAAAATAGGCCGGGTGCAGTGGCTCACTCCTGTAATCCCAGCACTTTGGGAGGCCGAGGCGGGTGAATCACCAGAGGTCAGGAATTCGAGACCAGCCTGGCCAACATGGTGAAACCCCGTCTCTACTAAAAATACAAAAAATTAGCTGGGCGTGGTTGCGGGTACTTGTAATCCCAGTTACTTGGGAGGCTGAGGCAGGAGAATAGCTTGAACCAGAGAGGCACAGGTTCCAGTGAGCCAAGATCGCATCATTGCACTCCAGCCTGGGCAACAAGAGCAAAATTCTGTCTACAAAAAAAAAAAAAAAAGCATTGAAAAAAAAAACAAAGGAGAATGTTAATCAGATAATAGAGGTAAATGCCCCTCAACAAGGGCTAAGGTACACTAAAATATGCTTATTTCAG